CGGCCTCTACGCTCTGGGTAAACCCGCCGCACCCCGGACCCTTCCGCGCCTGCTGCCTTGTGCGTTTCCGAGTTTGGTTAAAGAGGATGTGACTTTTTCTGTGTGTTCCTATTCTTTTTCCTTTTATGATTTGAAAAAGAGAAAACGCAGAGTAAGCTGGGACAGGGAAGCGCCACCATCTGCCCCCACGTGGACACTTCCGAGGGGAAAAGAAGTTGCAGGAGAACTTGGTGCTTCTGGCCTTGAGGCCTCGACTGGGGCTGGACTCTAAGGCCCGGGGTCATGACTCTGACTTTGGGCAGGTGGAGGGTGTTACTTGTTCTGGGCTGGACTTGAGCCCCCCGTTCTTGGCCGCCCCCCCCTCAAACACACACACACACACACACACACACACACACACATTACCCGGCGCCTGGCCTAGGCCTCCACACCCGTCAGCAACATGGACAAGTACCAGGACCTGGGCCTGGAGGCCAGTAAATTCATCGAGGACCTGAACATGTACGAGGCTTCCAAGGATGGACTCTTCCGAGTGGACAAGGGTGCAGGCAACAACCCGGAGTTTGAGGAGACACGGCGGGTGTTTGCCACCAAGATGGCCAAGATCCACCTTCAGCAGCAGCAGCAGCTCCTGCAGGAGGAGACCCTGCCCCGGGCCGCCAGGGCCCGCAGGTCCATCGGGAAGCTGGTGCGGGCAGCAGGCTGACCATGGACGGCGCTGCCAAGCCCCCTCTGGCTGCCTCGACAGTAGCTCCTGGGACAGCCACCACCATCACTGCTGGGCAGCCCTTGTACCCAGCCCAGGAGCAGAAGGCCAGGCCGTATGGCCACACCAGGCCTGGCAGTCAGGACTGTGGTTCCAAGGAGAGCCCGGCCGGTTCCGAGATGTCCGCCGTCCACGGGCTGAGCCCCTGCGAGGACCCTTCCTGCCTCACCCATGGAGACTATTATGACAACCTCTCCTTGGCAAGCCCGAAGTGGGGTGAAGAACCAGGAGTGCCTCCCGGCAGCAGGCTGGGTGTAGGGACTGGGTGGCCTGGCGCCCCAGGCGGTGACCCATCACCACCCACACCCTCCAGGGACCCTTACCTGTACCAGCCGCAGTTCTCCCCAAGCTCCAGCCGGTCGTTTGAGAGCGGCCAGGACAGTGGTGGTGATGGCCGCAGCAGCGAGAAGCCAGCGGGTCTTTGGACCACTGCCTCCTCCCAGTGGGCGCGCCCTGGCCTTCCCTCCCCAGGCCTGGAGAACGGGGCCCTCCTGGGGCCCACTCAGCCCAGAACCCCTTTTTCAGGGAGCTGCCCCAGTCAAGGAGCTCTTCCAAGAACAAACTCGGGGGCACGGAGTGAGGTTTCAGGCACGATGCCCAAACCAAATGCGCACCCTCAGTCCTGGTTCCAGGATGGGCCCAAATCCTACCTTTCTAGTTCTGGGCCGTCATCTTTGCCAGCCAGCATGGACAGTTTGCAGCTGGATGACGCCCCTGGGCTGGGTCCCAAGCCTGGCTGCACAGACCCTGGCACTGGTCCCAAGCTCAGCCCCATCAGCCGTGTCCCTCCAGTGATGTCCACCCCACTTGAGTTATCTTCTTGTAAAGAAGGTCCCCCTGGCTGGTCTTCTGAGGGTAGCCTGGGGCCTGTGCTCCCAGAGAGCCCCAGCCCCCACAGAGTGAGGCTGCCCTGCCAGACCCTCACCCCGGGTCCCGAGCTTGGGCCGTCGACTGCCGAGCTGAAATTAGAAGCCCTCACCCAGCGCCTGGAGCGGGAGATGGATGCTCATCCGAAGGCCGATTACTTTGGTGAGTGAGAGGCCAGTGGAGCTGCCCGCAGGGGGTGATGGGGTTGCCACCAGGGATGCTGTAGCTCTCGAGTGGCCTGTCCTTTTTTTTTTTTT